CAGTTGGTGCCCGGCAAGGAGACCTGCGGGACAGGGGCGCGGGGACCGGCGCTGCGGGAAGGACGGACCCCCACCCGGAGCCCCGCGCGGCCGGGCCCGAGCGCAGGGATGCCGTGTGCGCAGCGCCGTGCCGGCTGCTCCCCGCAGCAGCCCCCTCCCACCGTCCCCTCCCAGACGTCCCACCGCCTGCTGCCCTCACCTCGGCAGCGTAGCTCTCCCGGAACGCCCCCCGGAACATGGCCATCATCCAGTCGCAGCCGGCTATCAGCAGGGGTTTGTGCGCCGGCACGGCCCCGTCGTCCACGCGGAACACCACGTCTGGGCAGCACGGGGACGGGATGCACAGCCCGCAATGGCGCTGCCACACGGGTGCCGTGGGGTGGGGGGCTGGGGGGGGGCCGTGAGCACGGCGGAGGGGCGCCCCGCGTGGCCGCGCCGTACCTGCAAAGACGCCCTTCCCCAGGCACTCCTTGATGCGGTTGGCACGGCGCACGTGGAAGGCTTTGGTGATCTCCTGGTTCATGAAGCTCTCCTTGTTGAGCACGTTGGCCACCATCATGCGCAGGTCGAACACCTCCAGCAGCTCGGCGATGGTGGCCACCTGCATCAGGTCAGCGCACGCCCGCTCCAGCCGCCCGGTGTAGAGGTACTCCAGCACGGCGCGGAACGGCTCCGGCGCCACCGAGCGGTCCATGCACACCACCGTCATCCTCTTCTCCCTCCCGGCCACCGGGTCGGCCACCACCTCCCAGCGCATGCTGACGAAGCCCCGGCCCCACGCCGACAGATCGCGAGCGCCATCCCCCGTCGCCGCCCGCAGCGCCTCGTCGCTCTGCACGGCGCGCAGCCCGCCCTGCGGCCCCTCGCCCAGCGCCCCCCGCTCCCCGTCCAGGCTGCGGGCGCGGGCGGCCGGCTCCTTGCCCGTCCCCAGCGGCCCCTCCAGGGTGAAGAGGTCGTAGAACTTGGAGCAGGAGGTGGCCAGGTAGACGCGGTGCGCGAAGATGCGCTGCCCGCCCTGCAGCTGGAAGACGACGTCGGCGCACAGCGGGGTGCAGAAGAGCGCGGCGGGGCCCCAGGCGCGGCTGGCCGGCGGCTCGGGGATGCGGATGACCGGCGGGGGGGGCTTGGGGGGCAGGAAGGGTGCCTGCAGCAACGGGCGCTGCATCTTCTTCAGGTGGGACTTCCAGAACTGCAGGTGGCGGCGGGAGATGAGCGCGGCGCGGATGGCGTTGTCAAAGACGTCCTTGATGCCGAACTGGGCCACCACGCTGGTCTCGTAGTAGGGGACGCCCAGCTCCTTGGCCACCTCGTGGCCCCGCTCCGGGGGCAGGATGTCCGTGGGTCGGATGGGCCTGGGGGGACGGCGGGGGAACTCATCACCACGCATGGGACCCCCTGAGCATCGGGGATCCAGAGGATAGGGGACCCTGTGACTGGGGGAGCATAGGGGACCCAGAGAGCATAGGGGACCTGGTGACCGGGTGGCACCCGCTGAGTGTAGGGACGCAGTGACTGTGGGAGCCCCAGCCCTGCCACCCCCCCGGCGCAGCCTCACTTGGCCAAGGGCCGCCTGGCACGGTTGACGGCGTCCAGGTCGGCGTAGCGCAGGTCCAGCTGGCAGCCCACCAGGATGATGGGCGTCCGTGGGCAGAAGTGTTTGATCTCAGGGTACCACATGGTCTTCACGTGGCGCAGGGAGTTGGGGTTGGCGAGCGAGAAGCAGAGCACCACCACGTCTGACCTGGGCCAGAGGAGGAGGAGGAGGAAGGTCAGAGCCCTGCACCGGCGCCCTGGGCACCAGCATGGAGATACCCGCGGGCAGCAGCAGAAGGGACCCGGCCCCGCGCTGTGCCCCACATTGGGGTCCCCCAATCGGGAGCAGCCCCAGAGCCACGGCTGCTTTCTGCCTGGGACGTGACCGGGAGCCGTGCTGGAGCCGGGCCGGTGCCAGGACCAAGATAGACACCACCCGCCCGCCCTCGGGCCCCCCGCCAGCACGGGAGCTGCGAGCGACGCCGGCACCCAGAGCCCCGCGGGACAGCGGCGGTGAGCGGGGGTCCCTGGGTGGCTGTGGGCACCCCACGCCATGGCATTCCCCACGACCCCCCCCCGCCCCAGGAGCCCCCTGCCCCGTCGGGTGCCCCCAGCCCCGTGGAGGGGTTGTGGGAGTGTGCCCACGCAGCTGGCGCGGGGGCAGCGATAGCAGAGGGGCCGTGCCAGGGGCTGAGGGCCGTGCTTGTTTACAGCCTGGGCATTGCGCGGGGGGGTCGGGCCTTGCCCTGCTCAGCCATGGGGCATCGGGAGCTGAGAGGTGGGCAGGACCCTACAGGGGGGGACAGGACCCTACAGGGTGGGTCAGGACCCTACAGGGCACTGCACGCTGCAGGGACTGGGGGGTGTGAGCCAGGCACAGCGGACTCTGCGGTGTCCCGATGCCCCCCCCTGCAATATGTGGGTCCCCAACAGCCTCAGAACCCCCAGGAGTCCCCTGGGACCCCACTGCCACGTGATGCCACCTCTATGGGAGAACCTGCAGGGGGAAGGGAGATCCCCTCCCGAAGGCGAGGTCCCTCCTGGGGGTGTCTGCAGGTCTTTGCGGGGGGGTCTCATGCATGGAGGAGGTCTCACCCAGGGGGCTGCGTTCTCTCCCGGGGTGGGGGTCTCTCCCGGAGGGTGGTTCCCCAGCTGGAAGGCTTAACCCGGGGGGAGGTCTCTCCCGGGATGGGGGGTGGGCAACTCGGGGCGGGCGGCGCCGGGTGGTTCTGTCCTGATCTGGTATCTGGTCTCTCCCAGAGAGGAGTTTCT